CCTCCCGCGTCGTCGTCGTCGTCGTCGCCTACGTCGTCCTCTGTCTTTCCTCGTGTTCGTCGTCGTCGTCCTCTTTGGCGTCGTGGTCGTTTCCGTCGTCGTTGTCGCCGTGGTCGTCCTTCCTCCTCCTCCCTCGTCGTCGTCGTCGTCGTCCGTCGTCGGCGTCTCGTCGTCGTCCCTCCTATTTCGTCGCCGTCGTCGTCGTCGTCGTCGTTGTCGTCGTCGTCGTCGTCTTCCTCCTCCCTCGTCGTTGTCGTCGCGTCGCCGTCCCCCTTCTTCGTCGTTCGCGTCGTCGCCGTCCTCCCTCCTCCCTCGTCGTTGTCGTCGTTGTCGCCGTCGTCGTCCTCTCTCCTTCCTCTTCGTTGGCGACGTCGTCGTCGTCTTCGTCGTCGTCGGCGTCGGCGTCGTTGTCGTCTTCGTCGTCGTCGTCGACGTCGGCGTCGTCGTCGTCGCCGCCGTCGTCGTCGTCGTCGTCGTCGGCGTCGTTGACGTCGTCTTCGTCGGTGTCGTCGTTATCGTCGTCGTCGGCGTCGTCATCGTCGTCGTCGTTGTCATCGTCGTCGTCGTCGGCGTCGGTGTCGTCGTCGTCGGCGTCGGTGTCGTCGTCGTCGTCGTTGTCGGCGTCACGTCGTCGGTGTCGTCGTAGTCGTTGTCGGCGGCGTCGTCATCGTCGTTGTCGCTGTCGTCGTCGGCGTCGCTGTTGTTGCCAAATGCCATGTGGTACCCACCGTCACGGTCTCAAGAGATTTTGCAAACCAAGTTCCGGGTGGGTGGGTGGGATGTTTGCGCGAGCAGTGGAGTGGACAACTCACTGCGAACAGAAATTAATTCTCCTTTCTAAAAAGAGAATAGACTCTACCCCCCCCCCCGGACTAATCGGTTCCCCCTGGGAGTCTGGTTTCATATATCCGCCGGCCCCCTTGTGGGGCCACCAGGCTGTAGGAGCGAGGTTCGCAGTTTCCTCTACCAGTTGTAGCTTGTAGTTTCCAGTGTTACAGTTCTGCTTCTTGCTGGTTACTGTAACTAGTTGACTTATTGCTGGTTACTGTAACTAGTTGATTGACCGCGCGAGGGGGGGGAGGCCCAAACCGGCTTTTTAGCACCCCCTGGGCGCGTTGTCTGAATTGCTGGGGGGGCTCGAAATCGACACCCCTCACGCAGATCCGCGGGGTCAGGGTCCAAAAACACAGGGGATTTGCCACATTTCTGAAATTCGGTGCCACCCCTCACGCAGATCCGCGGGGTCAGGGTCCAAAAACACAGGGGATTTGCCACATTTCTGAAATTCGGTGCCACCCCTCACGCAGATCCGCGGGGTCAGGGTCCAAAAACACATGGGATTTGCCACATTTCTGAAATTCGGTGCCACCCCTCACGCAGATCCGCGGGGTCAGGGTTCAAAAACACAGGGGATTTGCCACATTTCTGAAATTCGGTGCCACCCCTCACGCAGATCCGCGGGGTCAGGGTCCAAAAACACAGGGGATTTGCCACATTTCTGAAATTCGGTGCCACCCCTCACGCAGATCCGCGGGGTCAGGGTCCAAAAACACATGTGGATTTGCCACATTTCTGAAATTCGGTGCCACCCCTCACGCAGATCCGCGGGGTCAGGGTCAAAAAACATAGGGGATTTGCCACATTTCTGAAACTCGGCGCCACCCCTTACGCAGATCCGCGGGGTCAGGGTCCAAAGACACAGGGGATTTGCCACATTTCTGAAATTCGGTGCCACCCTTCACGCACATCCATCGCAAGGCGTGGTAACCCAAACTGCGAGAACTCCGTCGGCCCTTTAATCGCAAGGTGTGGTAACCAAGCCCGTAAACCATACACGTCTTACCAATCGCCAGGTGTGGTAACCCCTCTGGTGATCAGTTGGTTTGCTGATTGCGAATCGGCTTCGCATGAAGTTTCGATACTGGTTCACGACAGCGCCAAGGCCTCATGACTTAGCTCTTCCATGGCCCATTATCCGAGAGAGGGGGCCGGCGGCAGGGGGCGAAGCCCTTACGGATATATATATATATATATATATATATATATATATATATAAGTATATATTCTGCACACTCGTCCATCCTAAAAATGAAATCATACCATCCCAGCTAGGTTGGTTTCCCCCCGAGGTTCCCTTGTTAAAAAAAACACTATGCGGTGACTTTTGTGTGTTCTAACATAACACTTGTTCACGAATCCCTTGCACAAAAAAATGAGACGAAGTGCACACGCGCGCGTCGTCGCGCGCGCATGCCGAAATCCTTCAAAAACCTTCGGTGCGGGAAGGATTTCGCAATCGAGTTTCCCCCCCAAAAAAAAACATACAAACACATAGTTTCGCAACACAGAGTTGCTAAAAAACGTTTCCGCGAAAGCTCTTGCGAAATCTTAAGAAGACCAAGGGTTTTCCAAGGTTTTTACAAAATGCTACCAAACGGGCTTCGCGCGCGCTCATGTCGAAATCTGTCAAACGCCCTTGCGCGTGTGCAGTCGCGAGAATCCCCTGCAAAAAAACGGGACGAAATGCAGACGCGCGCGTCGTCGCGGGCGTACGCCGAAAACCTTCAAAACCCATCGGTTCCGGAAGGAGTTCAAAATCGTGTGTCCAAAAACCTACAAAAACACAAGGTTTCGCAACACGGATTTTCAACAAAAGCGTGCGCCTGCGCTCTTGCGTCGTCGTCGTCGTCGCCGTGCTCCCTCCTCCCGCGTCGTTGTCGTCGTCGTCGTCGTCGTCGTCGTCGCCAACGTCGTCCTCTGTCTTTCCCCGTGTTCGTCGTCGTCGTCCTCTTTGGCGTCGTGGTCGTTTCCGTCGTCGTTGTCGCCATGGTCGTTCTTCCTCCTCCTCCCTCGTCGTCGTCGTCGTCCGTCGTCGGCGTCTCGTCGTCGTCCTTCCTATTTCGTCGCCGTCGTCGTCGTCGTCGTCGTTGTCGTCTTCCCTCCTCCCTCGTCGTTGTCGTCGTCGGCGTCGCCGTCCTTCTTCCTTCGTCGTCGTTCGCGTCGTCGCCGTCCTCCCTCCTCCCTCGTCGTTGTCGTCGTTGTCGTCGTTGTCGCCGTCGTCGTCCTTCCTCCTCCCTCGTCGTCACCTTCGTTGGCGTCGTCGTCGTCGTCGTCGTCGTCGTCGGCGTCGGCGTCGTTGTCGTCGTCGAAGTCGTCGGAGACGTCGTCGGGGTCGTCCTAGTCGTTGTCGTCGGTGTCGTCGTAGTCGGTCTTAACAGGTTTTGCAAACCAGGTTGCGGGTGGGTGGGTGGGATGTTTGCGCGAGCAGTGGTGATGACGACTTCAAGTTCAGCAGAGTGGGTTGCACAACATAGAATGCACCACGCAGATCGCGCAACGTATATGGCACATCATATACCATCAGTTCAGTAAACATGTGGGCCTGTCCCACCCATAGGGTTATCCGTCCGGCCTCGCGATGTTCAATTTTCCATCCGATTCCGCCCCATCGCACATTCTGAATTTGAGTCCATACCACCCCAAACAAACCTGCACCGACAACCTCCCCATCCTCGCCACGTGGACTTATGCGCGCACACATATGTATTGAAACGAACCCGTTTTCAAGAATATGTTGCGACAGTTCGGGCACAATCCACGCGCGCGCGGCATCGCGCGAAAGTGCCGCAATCCTTCACAAACCTGCAGGTGTCGCGGGGATTTCAACATCGACGTGCCCGATGGCATGGAAAAACCAAGGTCTTGCAACATGGTCTTCCAAATAAGCAATATCTGCGCGCGCTGTTGTGAATTCGCCCCCCGAATAACGTTTTCAACCTGTTTCTCAAGTTCAACCAAACGGACCTTTCGCGCGCGCATGTCGAAATCATCCGAACGCCCTTGCCCACGTGTTCAAAGGAGGGGGCGGCGCGATCCCTGTCGAAGAAAAACATGCGGGCCACTCGCGCGCGTCGGCTGCGCGCGCTTCTCGAATTCGTTCCAAAATTCTCATCACCGACACGTGGACAACATCATCGTCATCGACGAAATCAGCATCGGCACCGTCACTGGCCTTGCCGTCGTCACTCTCATCGTCACCAGCACTGCTACTATCATCATCGTGTCAACAGTTGTCAACGTTGCCATGATACCGCGTCCACCTGAGCACCGACTCGCACTGAACCGCCTTCGCGTCAGCGCGGCCTGCCAACACACTGGGAAGTGTCCAACGGTCAACGTCACCGCGGCCGCGCCGGTCGCGCCAGACTAGCTGGCCGCTCTGCGCGCGGGCATGCACGGGCTAGCGCGGCCGATGAGATAAACCAGCCAACACCAAGCACTCATCGCAACTGCATGGCTTTTGCGAACCAAGTTGTGGGTGGGCGACTGGGATGATTACTCGAGTAGTGCACTTGACGACTTCAAATTAAACATGGTGAATAGCACCTCGTACATGAAACCACATCGGCTGCACCACATAATTGGCAAGTGCGCGAAAGCTTCACGCATGGAGAGCGGCCCCTTTTCAAAGCGCGGCAGTCGCTTGACACTCCTTCGCTGGGTCGCATTCCTTAAATCTGAAAGGTTTGGAAGTTTGGAAGGTGGCGTTTTCCAAAACGGAGCTCCCGCCTGACTTGTGGGCCCATGGGGGGGCGCTCGTCTTTCGAGGGGGGCGCTTCGCGCAGTGAACGCGAGGTCTTCTAATGATGCATGGAGAATGCGGCTTCAGACGGAAGGGTGCATTGCAGCATCGCTGATGCACCTGGGGTTTTGACAAGTCCCCCTCCTCCTCTCCCTCTCCCTCCCTTGTCAGTCCCCAGAACCCCGACGTGGTGTTGTGTGTTTGCAGCGTGGACCTCCAGAAGCCTGGACCCCAAAAACTGGCTTCCCACCCAAAATTGATCCTAAATTGTCCCGGGGCCCTGCCAGGGCCCCCGGAGGCAGGAAAAGTACCCAGACCTTCCGTCGTGATTTGGTCGCGGACCTCAGTGCTCCGCCTCTCGCTCCTCATTCCCCTCGCGACCGAGCCGAGGTGCGGGAGCCCCCCCCCCCACCCCGGCCTGGGGGGCACGCTGTGGGGGCGCCGCCACCTTAGCGCCCGCCCCCACGGCCACCGCGAACACGCACGGATCGGCATTGAATGGGAACTGGTGGAAGCCCGAGCCGTGCACGTCTTGAGCAAGACACATGGCGGATGCGTGTCCCCTGGACCTCTCGACCAGAATTCTGGAGGACAACGTGTTCCTCCCTGGTTTCATTTTCTTCCGACGGCCCCCGGGCCCACGAACGGCCTCCAGACACCGAAAACAAGGAACAGCTGCCCGCGCTGATGTCCCAAACAGTGGAAAGACTGGGTGCAGGTGCCCTCTGCAGGCGGCAGACCACCGGGGGGGGGGTGCACCCGAGGGCGCCGCGAGGAGCCCGCTGCGGACGGAGGCCGCCACGAAGCCAGGAGGAGGAAGAGGAGCAGGGGGAGGGGAAGGAGGAGCAGGGGGAGGGGAAGGAGCAGGAGGAGAGGAGTGGCGCGGAAGAGGGGGGGGAGACAAGCTAGGTGTGCTCGCGTCATATCTGACGTCCTACCCCTCCCTCCCATCCCTGACCATGGCGTAGAGATCCTCTCTATTCGCACAATCGGATGTCGCAGCATGGCGTAGCATTACATGGCATAGCATGGTGTCGAAGATCAACGCGTAGCATGATATAGCATGGCGTGGCGACGCCGCAAGGTGGGGTGGGCAGCGGGAGCACGATTCGGAACGAGCGGAAGCGCGGAAATGAGGCCAGCGTTGCAGCGTGAGCAGGAGGAGAGGAGTGGCGCGGGACGGGGGGAGAGGGGGGAGAGGAGGGGAAGGAGAAGGATGAGAAACAGTGCAAGCCCGGGATGTACCAACGATGCTCCAAGACACCATCCCTACCAGAGTCTCCTCCTCATAAATCACTATAAGCATTGTTTCCACGTTCGCGGCGCCCCCTTGAACGATAAGCGCCCAATGCGCTCGCAATTCAGACGGGAGCTTCGTTTTGAAAAGGCGCTGCCCCCCTTCGAGCCATGAAGAGTGTGGCAAAGTAGAGTCGTGTCCGACGACAACCACGCTTTGAAAAGGAACCGCCAGACATTTGCGTGGCCGTCGACCAATTCAACACTGATACAAGGCTCCAAGGCTGCAGAATTCAACAATGCCACAAATGAGAACCTCGCTTTGAAAACGATTGTCCCTCCGTCCGTCTAGCTGTCGTCAGCTTTCACCTTCCGGTAGAATGTGTATGCATGTCTCAGGGGAGAACGCTACTTTTCCCCAATTAGGTTTACCTAAGGGGGTCTTATTTGGTTTAGAGGTCGGCGCCTCGGAATGTTACGTTGCCCGTTCCTCGAAGATTCCTCGGGTTCCTCGGGTTCCTCGCCCCCGGTGCCTCATATTCTTACGTTGCCCGTTTCCCGGAGGTTCCTCGGGTTCCTCGGGTTCATCGCCCCCGGTGCCTCCTAATGTTACGTTGACCGTTCCTCGGAGGTTCCTCGGGTTCCCCGGATTCCTCAAGCAATGCCGAGCACTGCGCACCTACAATAGGAAACTGTCCCCTAATTGGGGTCGCGCCAGGTTCATTTCTTAACCCCCAGGTGGGCTTGCCCAAGGGGTTCTCACTCGGTTAATGGTGCCTCCTGCTGCTGCTTTGCCTGTTGCTCGGAGGTTCCTCGGGTTCCTCGAGTTCCCCGCCCCTGGTGCCTCCTCTTGTTACGTTGCCCGTTCCTCAGAGGTTCCTCGGGTTCCCCACATTCCTCGGGTTCCCAGAGTTCCTCGGGTTCACCGCCCCTGATTGTCCCAAGCAATGCCAAGCAATACCAGCCCACGCAAAGCAATGCGAGGCAATGCGAAGCAATGCCAAGCAATGCCAAGCAATGCCAAAAATCCTGCCAACCTATGCCAATCATTGCCAATCCATGTAAAGCCAAGCAATGCAAAGCAATGCGAAGCAATGCGAAGCAATGCCGTGCAATGCCGTGCAATGCCACGCAATGCGAGGCAAGGCCAAGCAATGCCCAGAGATGCGCCCAGCGATGCGCCCACGCACTAGGCTTTCCCCACATTGGGGTCGCGCCAGGCTCATGAAAGCGAACCGCCCTCCCTCCATCAGTGCCCCTGTGGAACATGTGTTGGACGAGTGTGCGCCGCGCCAGGGCGAGAGCCCCGTGTTGAAAAATAGTCGCCCTACATCGAAGGAAGTGCTCGATGTGCTCAAGGCGATTGTGCGAGGCGAGAGAGAGAAAGAGAGAGAGAGAGAGAGAGAAAGAACCCGACTTCGAAAACCACCCTCCCTCCCTCCGTGTCCGTGTAAGTGTTGGAAACTCCCAGCTTCAAGGCCGTAGACGGTGAAACATGAAACACATCTCAGGCGAAACGCCGGACTCGCCCTAACGACACGCCTGGCGGTGCGACAAGGATGAGTCACAAGGTACATGTATGCGTCTTCATGCACACCGGTACACGCACGCACGCACGAGCAGGCAGGGTGTGGGAGAGGGAGGGGAGGGAGGGCAGCCGCGCCCCGGGCGTCCGAGGGCGCCGCGAAGCCCGAGCTGCAGCCGAGGAGCGCGAGCGCCAGGGCGGCGGCCGCCGCCGTGCGGAGCGCAGCGGAGCGCGTGCGGGCGGCCATCTTCTCGGCGAGGCGGGCGCCGAGGTCTTCACGCGGCGCAGCCGCCCTCATCCCTCCTCCTGCATCCTCCTTCTCGGCTCCCCGGCGCCACCTTCCCTCCTCCTCCGTCCCCCCCCTCCTTGTTTCATATGCATGCCTCCTCCTCCTCCTCCTCCTCCTCCTCCTCCTCCTCCTCCTCCTCCTCCTCCTCCTCCTCCTCCTTGATGCACCACCAGGCGCGTTGTAAGGGCGGGCCGGGCGTTTCGCTTGGGACTACCTCACCGCGTATGCCCCCGAAACTTGAAACGCCTCACCTTTCTAGAGACGCAGTTTACAAGGATGGAGGGCGGCCCTTTGTCGACATAGGGCTCCCATTTGCGCTTTCCTCACTGCTGTCGAACAGAATTTCTCATTGAGACTTCGTAAACTCGTGCGCGCAGAGTCGGAACACAAAACGTGCAGCGTTTGCACGGATGGAGCGTAAAGCATTGTTCAAAACGGAGCGCTCGCTGGACACTCACTTGGACTGTTTGTGCCGCCCATGGCCAGAACCGACTCGATGCTTTACAAAACAGGGTCTCGCATGAATGGCAGGGCGGCGCCCGTCTTTCAGGTGGGGCGGCTTCAGCAGTGATGAAAAAACTTGCAACAGGTCCTCCCCCCTCCTGCCTCCTCCTCCGTCCTCGTTCTCGTCGGCGCAAACCCAAAAACCCAACGTTTTGAAAATAAAAAATAACGATTTTCTGTTTTCGGCCTCTCGGGGCCCTTCTGGGGTTCCCGGTCTGTCAGAGAAACATCCGGGACGAAAAACTGGCCCAGCCGAGAATGCCCCAAGATATTGGGGACTGCGTAGCGAAACAAATGAAAGCAGTGGATATCTGGGAGACCCGTTCCCGCCGGTGCTCTCCCGGCCCACACGCATGACCGCCCTCCATCTGCCAAACTTCGCCCTCCACCCTTGCGAAGGTCGACGGGGGACGGCTTCATTTCGGGACGTCTCCGGGCGTTTCAGGTCCTTGTTGTACCTCCTAAGGCCTCCGATTCCAAGGGTTCCTGGGGATGTCTGGGGACCAGCAGGTTGCGGGGCAGCAGCAAAACTTGCCAACACCACCGTCCTCGTTTTCCTTTTCGTTTTCCAGATTTCCTCCTGCTCCTCCTCCCCTTCCTCCTCCTCCTCCTCCTCCTCCTCCTCCTCCTCCTCCTCCTTTTCCTCCTCCTCCTCCTCCCGTTCGTCATTCCTGTCGGGTGGGGAGAGGGATTGCGCGAATGGGGAAAGAGGGAGCCGAGGAATGATAAGGCACGGGGAGGGAGAGCAGAAGAGAGGAGAGACAAAAGGAAAGGGGCAAACTAATTGCGTTTGCGTCATATCTGACGTCCTACCCGACCATTCTCTCCCATCGTTTACCATTGCGCTGGTGCTTTCTATATCCGCGGACGCGTGTCACAGCGGACTTGGAACTCCCAGTAAAACCGGGTGAGTACGAGGATGCAATGGCAACGGAAGGGAAGGTAGGGGTACTTTTTGTAGCTTAATATCAGATGGACAAGTGGGGAATCATGCTTTGCCTGAAAATGCTCGAAAGTGTTCGGGGGTACTGATGGAGACGTTCGAAATATGTTCGGTTGCATGTTCGGGGGATGGTCGCTCAGAGAAGTCAATATGTGGTGGTATCTTGAATGTGTTCAAAAAATGTGCGGGAAACGTGGCGGCGCCAGCTCCAGGGTCATTATAGAAGAGTTCGCCCTGCGCGAACACTTGTAGCATGCGCGATCTTAGCGTGGTCCCCCAGAGAGAGCAAAGCGAGGGAAGGCTGAAGGAGAAGGGGGAGAGCTTGGAGAAGGAGGAGGAGGAAGACGAGGCAAGCAAAAATCACCATCCGACGGCGAGAAGAAGAGTTCCCATCGGGTTCGCCCCCACAGGGTTCACCTCCATAGATTGGGTTCGCCCCTTGGCCCTAGGCCCTAGGCCCTAAGCCCACGGCCCCAGGCAAGCGCCCTACCTGTTGGCCCTACCCTGACATGGCAGACCCCTCTAAGGCAAGGGCCTAAGGCCTTGGCCGTTCGCCCCAATGGAAGGTTCGCCCCCATGAAGGGCCCGCCCCCCTATAAGGGCGTGGTTCGCCCCGGACCCCCTCCTATGACGGCATGCCCATGGGGTTCGCCCCCTTCGCCCCTTTTCCGCGGGGGCCTGCGCGGCCTGCGCGCGAAGAACGCTGACCTGATTGCAGCGTTTGCACTTCGGCGCGCGATGCGCGCCGAATGGTCATACAGCGCGCCCGATTCCCCGCGCCAGGGGCGCTGGATGACAGCGTGGACACTCTGGCGCGCGAAGCGCGCTGAATGGTGCGCGGCGCGTTTACACATCGGCGCGCGAGACGCGCCGAAAGACTTACCGCGTTTTATTCTTCGGCGCGCGAGGCGCGCCGGGCGGTTTACGTCGTTTAAACTTTGGCGCACAAGCGCGCTGAGCGGTTTTGCGCGTTTACACTTCGGCGCGCGAAGCCCGCCGACCGGTTGACGTCGTTTGCACTTCGGCGCGCGGAGCGCGACGGGCGGTTCCGCGTCTACACTTCGGCGCGCGAAGCGCGCTGAACGGTGCGCAGCGCGTGCAATTTCGGCGCGCGAAGCGCGCGGAACGCTTCGCAGCGTTTACACTTCGGAGCGCGAGGCGCGCCGAACGGTCTATGGCGTTTACGCTTCGGCGCTCGGAGCGCGCGCGCGCGCGCGCGCCCCCTGCCGGCCCTGTGGGCCCTGTGGGGGCGGGTGGCATTTGCGACGCCTTTTAAACCTGTGGGGCTGGTGGCGCCTGAGAAACCTGTAGGGCCTGTGGATCCCGTTGGACCTGTGAGACCTGCGAGACCTGCGGGCCCTGTGGGACCTCTGGGGCCTGCGGGGCCCGTAGGACCTGCGGGCGCCATAGCTTCAGGTTCGCCTACAAAGGTTCGCCCGCATAGGGTTCGCCGCCGTGGGGTTCACCACCGCGGGGGTCGCCTCCATGGGGGTCGCCCCCATGTTCGCGCGCATAGGGTTCGCCCCCATAGGGTTCGTCCTCATAGAGGTTCGCCCCCCAGATGGTTCGCCCCGTCGGGTTCGCCCTCATTAGCTTTGTCCCCAGAGGGCGCGCCCCCCTGGGGCTCGCCCCCAGAGGGTCGCCCCGCCCCCCCTCATAGGGCCTGCCATATGTCATTGAGCGGCCCCCATAGGCCATAGGCTTCGCTGGCAGACGGCATAGGGTTCGCCCCCGTAGGGCCCGCCCGTGAGGTTTCGGCCCCGCAGGGTTCGCCCCCAGAGCGTTCGCTTCTATAAGGTTTGCCCTAAAAGGTTCGCATCGTGCCAAGGGTTCGCCCCCAAAGGGTTTGCCCTGGGAGGGTGAACCCCCATAGGGTTCACCCCCGCCGGATTCGCCTCCACAATTTGGGTTCGCTCCCTGGCCCTAGGCCCTGAGCCCTGGGCCCTAAGCCTGCGGCGAGCCCTGGGCCGCAAGGGCCCAAGCCCCATCTGGCGCCCCTGCCCGAAAGGCCCCGAGGCCTTGGCTGTTCGCCCTCATGGAGGGTTCGCCCCCATAATGCTCGCGAGCGACGTTCGCACCCGGCCCCCTCCTATTACAGTGTTGGCGGCGTGCCCATGGGGTTCGCCCCCTTCGCCCCTCTGCCCCGGGGGCCCGCGCGGCCTGCGTGCGACGCGCGCTGATTTTTTTACGGCGTTACATTTCGGCGCGCGAAGCGCCCCGAGTGGTCTTGCAGCGCGCCCGATTCTGCGCGCGAAGCGCGCTGGCTGACGGCGTGGACACCCCGGCGCGCGAAGCGCGCTGAATGGTGCGCAGCGCGTCTACACATCGGCGCGCAAGGCGCGCCGAAATATTTACCGCGTTGTGCGCTTTCAGCGAGCGAGGCGCGCCAGACGGTTTACGTCGTTTACACTTCGGCGCGCGAAGCGCGCTGAGCGGTTTTGCGCGTTTAACTTTCGGCGCGCGAAGCGCGCCGAACGGTTGAGCGCGCCGGGCGGTTTACCGCGTCTACACCTCGGCGCGCGAAGCGCGGTGAACGGTGCGCAGCGCGTGCAATTTCGGCGCGCGAAGCGCGCGGAACGCTTCGCAGCGTTTACACTTCGGCGCGAGATGCGCGTGGCGCGCGGACGGTTTACGGTAAGTGTTGCGAGGCCGCCTCCCCCCAAGGAGCCGCGACGATTTTGAAATTGAGAATTTTTCATGGTGTCGACGTCCTGAAGCTTGGCCATCGTGGGCCGCCCGAGCGTCATCGCATTGTCGCGCGCCGCCTCCTCCTGCTGCTGAGACGCGCCGCGCAGGCTGCGAAGGCGCGACCAAGGCGGGCCCGAATCCAAGACGCCATGTGGCCGCCGTGGGTCTCTCCGCCGCGGCGACACTTCACCCTGCGGTCGTTGGGCGACGCGCGCGTCCAGCGCTCCCACGCGCACTCCCGCGCGCGCTCGTGGCCCCCGATGCGCCCCCCATCCGTTCGACGGCTCGAGCATGGCCGAAGGGGGCCCTGCGTGCTTTCTCAAGGGGGGCTGAATCCACAATGGCCCCCTCGCGGGCAGGCGAGCGCTGCCCCTCTGACTCAACTACGAAATTACCTAACCGCGAAGACTGATAAATCTCTAGTGGGCTCAAAAAAAAATCAAAGCCCCCCAGGGCCCAGGGGAGTCCAGACAGATGCCGGACCGGCGCCGCGGGAATCCGGGGACTCCCCATGTTCACTGCCAGGGGCCACATTTTGACTGCCCAGAGCCAACAGAACAGCACTCCCAGGCCACATTTTGAATGCCCGGAGCCAACTGCAAGCCACTTCGTGTTCTTCGTGTTCCCAGAACACCACTCCCAGGCCACATTTTGAACGCCCGGAGCCAACTGTAGGCCACTTCGTATTCTTCGTCTTCCCTGAACACCACTCCCAGGCCAAATTTTGAAAGCCCGGAGCCAACTGTAGACCATTTCGTGTTCTTCGTGCTCCCAGAACACCATTCCCACGCTAATTTTGAATGCCCAGAGCCAACTGTAGGCCACTTCGTGTTCTTCGTGTTCCCAGAACACCACTCCTGCACCATATTTTGATTGCCCGGAGCCAACTGTGGGCCACTTCGTGATCTTCGTGTTCCCTGAACACAAGTCCCGTGCCATATTTCGAATGCCCGAGCTGAGGCAGGCTGAGGCCGAGGCAGGCTGAGGCCGAGGCAGGCTGAGGCTGAAGCTGAGGCACGCCGAGGCAGGCTGAGGCTGAGGCTGAGGCAGGCTGAGGCTGAGGCTGAGGCTGAGGCTGACGCAGGCTGAGGCCGAGGCAGGCTGGAGCTGAGGATGAGGCAGGCTGAGGCTGAGAAAGGCTGAGGCTGAGGCTGAGGCAGGCTGAGGCTGAGGCTGAGGCCGAGGCAGACTGAGGCTGAGGCCGAGGCAAGCCGAGGCAGGCTGAGGCTGAGGCTGGGGCTGGTGCTGAGGCAAGCGGGGGCTGAGACAGGCTGAGGCTGAGGCTGAGGCTGAGGCTGAGGCTGAGGCGGGCTGAGGCTGAGGCAGGCTGAGGCTGAGGCCGAGGCAGGCTCAGGCCGACACAGGCTGAGGCTGAGATTGAGGGTGAGGATGAAGCCGAGGCAGGCCGAAGCTGAGACAAGGCGAAGCTGAATGGGGGGGGGGAAGGAGGGGGGGGGCTGAGGCATGCTGAAGCCGAGGCAGGCTGAAGCCAAGGCAGGCTGAGGCTGAGGCTGAGGCGCGCCGAGGCAGGCTGAGGCTGAGGCTGAGGCTGAGGCTGAGGCTGAGGCTGAGGCTGGGGCTGAAGCTGGGGCTGAGGCGGGCTGAGGCTGAGGCTGACGCAGGCTGAGGCCGAGGCAGGCTGAGGCTGAGGCTGAGGCAGGCTGAGGCTGAGGCCGAGGCAGGCTGAGGCTGAGGCTGAAGCAAGCCGAGGCAGGCTGATGCTGAGGCTGAAACTGAGGCAGGCGGAAACATCCATAGGAATCCATAGGAATCCTTCGGAATCCCTAGGAATCCTTAGGAATCCGTAGGCATCCTTAGGAATCCGTAGGCGCAGTTTAGCATCCTCAGGAATCCTTAGGAACCCTTAGGATTCCATTGGATCCTAAGGCCGTTGCCGCTGCGACTGCAATTGCGAAGGCGACTGCGACTGCGAGAACAGCAGAATTCTACAATTGGATTCGCACCTGAATCTTAAGGGGAATGCTTCCATATATGCTAATACACATCGCTTTTAGGTTGCTTTGCCGGGATAATTAATTTTGACAAGCCAATATGCCGCTCGAGTGAAGGCGGTCGTTTCTGGGAGGCCCGCAGCAGCCAGGGGCTTTCATCCTATCTCTTGCTCGAGAGGGCGCGTGTCTCGCGGCGGCTTTTAGAGGAGCGCAATAAACGCTTTTTCATCCTCGCTTGCGCCGCGCCCCGCGCGCCCCGGAATGGCTCGCGCGCCGCGCGCGGCCTCGGGCCTCGGGGCGCGAAGCGGCGCGCGCGGGCGGGGGGGGGTCTGCCCTGGCCGCCACCCCTCGTCGCGCACACGGTCAATATCGTGGCGTTCCTCAAGTTGCGTTCCCTGCTATAACTCCCGCTGTTGCCCCCTGCCGCGACGCGGCGGAAGGGGGCGAACGCCTCGCGCCGAGCCCTAACCAGGACCACGCGCTGCTCCAGTAAGCCCCGCTTGGCAGGAGCATTCGCGGCCGCCGGCGCCGCGGCAGATGCGGCCAGGGCCCCCGCGGGAGCCACTGCGCGAGACTGAGCAGGCGGGCGGGGCTGCGCCGGCATTCTTTGGGCCGTTTCCGAAAAGCGTCGGCCATCAAGACCAACAGCTGCGGCCCCTTTGCCCCTCCTGTCCCCTCCGCTCCCCGCGTACCTCCCCCTTCCCTGCCCTCCACCTGCCCCTGCCCGCCCCTTCCCTGTCCTCCACCCACTACCGGCCCCTCCCCAGTGCCCCTCCCCGGCCCCCCCCTTTTCTGCGCCCCCGCCCTCCGCCGCCGCGCGCCGGGCACCCTGGAGCGGCGCCCCGGTCCGGGCCCGGGACGAGGCCCCCCCCGAGGCCACCCCCACGGGCCACCCGTGGGCCACCCCGGGGCACCCCCTGGGACGAGCCACGATTTTCGCCCACGATTTTGTTCACGATTTTCCGTTAATTCGAATCAAAATGAAACAAAATCGCGTTCAAAATCGTTGTCAAAATCGTAGGCAGTCGAAGTCGTCTGCAAAATCGGACGCAAATCGTGGGCAAAATCGTGGGCAAAATCGTGGGCAGAATCGCGGGGCGAAATCGCTGGCAAAATCGTAAGCGAAATCGGGTGCAAAATCGCGGCCCCAGGGGTCACTCCGGGGGCGCCTCGCCCCGGGGGAACGAGGGGGGGGGCTGGAAACGGACAGAGGGAGAGAGGGAGGCGGACAGAAAGAAAAAAAGGACCTGACCGGGAGGGGGAGACGGGAGGGACGGGGAGGGGAGGGCGGCAGGGGGAGGGGAGGGAGGCACCCGCATCCCCTGGCTGTCTGGACTCGGCGCAAAGCGCCGCGGAAAAAAAAAAAAAACCCAGAACCGGAACGCCAGATATTACCTAACAGCGAAAACTGATAGGTTTCTAATGGTCTCAAAAGAAAGCATCATGATTCCCCAAGGGGGTCTGGGCAGATGCCGGACGGGTGCCGCGGGAATCTGGGGACTCCCCATTTTCCTTGCCAGGAGCTACATTTTGTCTACCCGGGGCCAACAGAACACCACTCCCAGGCCACATTTTGAATGCCCGGACCCAACTGTAGGCCACTTCGTGTTCTTCGTGCTCCCAGAACACCACTCCCAGGCCACATTTTGAATGCCCGGAGCCAACTGCAAGCCACTTCGTGTTCTTCGTGCTCCCAAAACACCACTCCCAGGCCACAGTTTGAATGCCAGGAGCCAGCTGTAGACCACTTCGTGTTCTTCATGTTCTCAGAACACCATTCCCAAGCTAGTTTTGAATGTCCAGAGCCAACTGTAGGCCAGTTCGTGTTCTTCGTGTTCCCAGAACACCACTCCTGCAGCAAATTTGATTGCCTGGAGCCAATCCTGGGCCACTTCGTGATCTTCGTGTTCCCTGAAGACAAGTCCTGTGCCATATTTCGAATGCCCGAGCTGAGGCAGGCTGAGGCCGAGGCAGGATGAGGCCGAGGCAGGCTGAGGCTGAAGCTGAGGCACGCCGAGGCAGGCTGAGGCTGAGGCTGAGGCAGGCTGAGGCTGAGGCTGAGGCTGAGGCTGACGCAGGCTGAGGCCGAGGCAGGCTGAGGCTGAGGATGAGGCAGGCTGAGGCTGAGGCTGAGGCTGAGGCTGAGGCGAGGCAGGCTGAGGCTGAGGCCGAGGCAAGCCGAGGCAGGCTGAGGCTGAGGCTGAGGCCGATGCTGAGGCATTGGTAAGTCCAATGATAGCATCTAAGGACAACATTTGGTCAGGGCACTATTGCCCTGACGGGGCAGCCTCGTCAGGGCGCGATTGCCCTGACGAGGCTGCCCGTCGTCATCATCTTCATCGTCATCATCCTCATCATGATCGCTGGCTGCCTCAGTCATCAGCAGGAGTGCCCTGGCATCATCATCATCATCATCATCATCAATGGCATTATTACAACCATAATCATCAGCATCATCATCATCATCATCATCATCATCATCATCATCCTCATCATAGGTCGAGCCTGTCGCATAACCGTCGTCGCCCTCACCATGCCCTCCCTTCACTTTACTCCAGCCACCATCGGTTGGACGCGTCAAGCTTAAACCTTTGTATTATTGAACGAAAGAGTGTCGATTGAGGGTGCCCCAAAATGTCTAGGAAAACCCGCGCGGGGGCCCCGAAGAAGTTGCAAAGAAGACTCAAGCGGTAGCCCGGCTAGCCCCGTTGTGCCCCTATCCCGATGGCCACCGATGGCCGCCGAGGGCCCAGTGTCAAAGCGCTCCTCCTCCTCCTCCTTTTCCTCCTCCTCCTCCTCCTCCTCCTTCTCCTCCTCCTCTCCTCCTCCTCCTCCTCCTCCTCCTCCTCATCCTCCTCCTCCTCCTCCTCCTCTCCCTCCTCCTACGACCGACGTCCGACGACGTGACTGCGTGTTTTTTGCCATTCCTGGAATCCCCTGGAATCCCTGGAATCCCATGGAGTCCCCTGGGATCCCCTGGAATCGCTTGGAATCCCATGGAATCGCCTGGAATCCCCTGGAAGGAGGATGCAGAGTGACGCTGAAAGGCTGGAGAATGGAAGGGGTGGGGGGGGGCAAGAGGAGCAGGGGGGTTGGGTTAGATATTTCTTCCCCTCGAAATCGAGGCCCGGGCAGTCGCCGCCCAGTCGCCGTCCAGTGAAACCAGAAGCAAGATATGAGAGGAGGGATAGGAGGGAGAGGAGGGAGAGGTGGATAGGATTGGAGATAGGAGAGGAGGCGAGGAGGGAGGAGGAAATCTGCTCATGGTCGGCACGGGTAATTCGCCCCAGCAGAAGATATTGCATTATAAGGTGCAACGCCTCGCCTGGTGCTGCGACGCAGCAAAACAAACCCGTAGGCACCGCCAGCACGCGTTGAGTGCAAACCAAATCTTGTGGATTGACTGGCCAGTTCAGGCCCGTACCAACACGTTTCGCATGCGGCTGGCGGTGCCTTTCATGACAGGCGGCCGAACCTTATAGAAACCCCGAGCTCCAGAAAAGACCGAGCTCATGACAGAAGGTGAGACCCGTCGCTGCAGCTGGCCCTCTTGCCTTTGCCTTTGGTGCCTTTGGCCTTGGACCCCTTCGAGCCCTTGCCATTGGCACCTGTGTCAGAACTGTCGGCGGCAGAAGCACTGGCGGGCGTCTTCGCGGCAGCTGCGGCAAAGCCCGCGAACCCTAAATACTCTGAAATGTTGAATCTCACAGCCTGATCGTTGTTGCTACTCTTGCCCTTGCCCTTGCCCTTGCCGAGACCTTTGGCCCCTGGCAAACGGCGCGTCAGGGCGTCTCCTTTCAAGAGACCGTGGGCAGGCTCCACATAGTGCACAGTGAGCGGCACGATCACCTTCCCGTTCACATCGCGAAGGGCCGCTAACTCGGCAAAATTGACCAGGCTCTTGGACAGCTCTACCGCGTATGCCTCCTGCTCGTAGGTCATCGTCGGCTGGTTGCTTTTGTCGGCAACTGGGATGATCCACGCAGGAACGAATGAGGCTTCCCCCCACAGATCGACCAGCTTGTCGGACGTGACACATAGGGTCAGCTTGACATCTTCTCCAAACAGCAGCGTCACAAGAGGCAACTTCGATACGTAGTTCGGTTGGCAGATCTGAACGCGTCCAGCGAAATCCGACGACCATCGGCCAGGCTGTGGACTGTGGACTGTACCGAAGGAGTAGACCCAGGTAGGCCCTTTGGGGGAGGTCGAGACCGAGTCGGTGCATGATCACATCCAGTCGAGAAGGGCGCCCTACCCCTCCTCAACCTCAACATCCCCTCCGAGAACACAACCTCACATCAGTCACCCTCGCATCAGAGTTCAGGCGGATCAGGCCAAAAGGCTTATCAGCTACAGTTTGCCGATCGTGTCAGAATTCATCCTGATAACGCAGGTCTTGGGGCCCGGAGCAGCAGGATCTTCGAAGATACACTCGAGGTCGGCCAACCATCCGTTGCCCTTGCTCATGAAGGCGAGTTTGTAGAGCTCCGATTCCAACTCCATGCTAAGCATCTTGACGAACTGAGTCGAATACGACTCCCTCGGGAGATTCACAGTCTGGATCTTGTTGGCACCATGGTGGTCACCGTCGTCCTTAGCCGTGAGCGCCAGCATGCTGCCCATGTTGACCGTGGCGCGCTCAGCGTCCTTGGCCGAACCCGAGCAAACGCAAAAGATTCGAAGGCTTGGAAGGGGAGCCGACCTTGGTGACCTTGCCGACCGCGGAAGCCCACTGGGTAGGGACCCTGGGCCTGGGAACCTCTGTGGAAGGCCCTCCCCCCAAGCTTTCGACCCTCAGCGAGTGTTCGATTGCTTTTTGCAGCCCGCTGCTTCCGTGGCTGCATCAGGGTGGATGAAGTTGGCGATGTCTTTCATCGTCGTCACCTTCGGCAACGGATCCTCGGAGCTGCCCTTGCCGCCATCCTGGCCTTTGCTAGCGCCTGTGGCCTCTCCTTGTCCATCGTCGTCTTGCCCGCGCAGGAACGCGTCGAAAACAGATTTGGCTTCGGCAAGGAGTTTGTCCTTCTTGTCCATGAGTGCCTCGAAGAGCCTGGACCACTGCATGGGCCACTCCTTCACGATGTCGAAGTCACTGGAGTCGTCGGAGCAAAGGTCGCCTTCGAATGTAATGGCCAGCTGGACGAACGTGTTGAAGTTAGCCGCAATGCAATTTACAACATCACGGGCAGGAGTCGATTGCGCCCATGAGTTCTCCAGGGGACCTCCGCCAAGGACTCCATCGACAAGTGCATGAAGAACATAACTGACGCGAATCTTCATGAAAGCTTGGATTGAACTTTTGTCTGTAAAAACTGCTGGCTTCAAACGAATGGCACTCTCCTCCTCGTTGTTGTACAGATATTCGGCTGCCAGCATGGCGAAGTCAACCCAGGCAATTGGGATGATCGGCTCGATGCTAATCGCCAGAGTCTTGAACACGTCTAGGGGGGCAACTTGCTTCACGAGCTTGTCCACTGTCTGCGCGTCCTTATCGAGCCCATCCCAAGCAGCTTGCATGAACTGCATGTAGGCCATGTGCATCTTAGACGGCTTATCGGGCTTGTTCGTGCTCAAGAATTGGGATATGTCCTCACCGTGTTG